CACGTCATCAAGTTCTTTGTCCTTCATCGCTTCGGCGACATCCTCCTAGTCCGATTCAGCCACATACCAGTCATTATCTGCAATTAACTCGCTAAACAACCGCCGCCTTGTCCATGCTAAGAGAGGGGGTGTAGTACACTTCACTAGCGGTCTGCCAAGCGATGAGTGTAGATTTGGGAAATACTTTGTCATAGCCTCCAACTCAAAGAGCTAGGAGGCACAGGACTGCTTTGGGAACTTTCCCACTTGCTGCGTTTCTTTCTTCGCAGCGGTATTGGGTGAAGACGTAGCTGTGGGGGGGGTCTCCTGGTCCCTCCGGTGGGGTCAAGTGACCGGCAGCCATCATTGGGCCCCGTTGACGGGGAAGCCATGCGCGAACGCGGTGGTGGCGTCAACCCTAGCTCAGATAAAATAGTAGCTCAACCATTTGCTCTGAAAATGAATTGTTCTTTTCAATTCAAATTTTTTTTAAAACTAATTATGGATGTCAGGCATTGTTGGATTAACAATAGTCATATCGAACAAGAGATTGGTCTAACAGTAATAAAAGCATTAATTTTTAACAGAGAGTGCTAAGATTTGAATATTTTCAACAACACGTAACTATAAAAATCAATAATCATATAGACTTCTGGTTTTGCGCAAAAAAAAATTCATAATCCTCTCTTCTCTCTCTTGTGTTCTAGTGGTTCCTCGCCGCTATGGCGACTCCATCCAGCTCAGCCCCTTCCGGCGAGCCAGTGACGTGGGCGAAGCTCTTTAACGTTCTGGAGGTGAATCGGATGAAGTAGTGTCCACCATAATGGGTTCATGATGGGTTTCGTATTCCCAGGGAGGTAAAGAAGGTTGGTGAGGCAATGTGGAAGGAAGGCTTCATTGGTTAGTTTATAGTTCCGATTCCTAAGGTTTCTCTTCTGCAACAATGTGCGACGGCTCTTTGGGTTTGATGGTGTGGCAAGAGTATCTAGATTCGGTCCTAGACTTCTCATTTTTCAGTTTCCATCTGCTTCTACAAGCAAGAGGGTTTTCCAATCTGGTCCATGGCACTATCAGGGGAATCAAATAGAGAGTTTTCCAATCTGGCACATGGCACTATAAGGGGAATAAAATTTTATTGCGGAAGTGGGCACAGGCGATTCAACTAGTTGTTCTTGCGGTTGAAACTCTTCTGATTTGGGTAATGATTTGGTGTATTCCTCTGGAATATCACTCATTTGAAGGTTTATAGTGGGTTGCAAGTACTGTTGGTCCTCCGTCGTGGGGGCTCAGCTAGGCTATGCGAACGTCTATGTGGATTTGGAGGTGGAATGTTGGTTCCCAGCACATGTTCGGTTATATCTTGATGATGATCCCAGTTTTTTTTATTGATGTTGAATATCTAAATAAGCCAATTACCTGTCCTACCTATGAGGTTTATCGTCTTGATTGTGGGAAATTGGCTAAGAATGGGAAGAAATGGCAGACTAAATCCTTTCCTCCACCGGTTGTCTAGAGCTCTGAAGTGGTTGTTCCTGTCTTAGAATAGGTTGTGCGAGATGAAAATGTTAAAGGAAAGGTTGTTCTTGTTGAGAGGGATAGTCTGGATGAGGTAGTTCTTGTTAGTGATGAGATCAACGGAGAAGAGGTTAGACTGGGTTCTCCTTTATCAATTGAGGGTATATTGCTAGCTTTGCTGAAGTGGTTAAAGGGTCACCAACTGCTGTTGGGAGCCTTTCAGCTACCGAGTAATCGAGTGTTGCAGCAAGTTCATAAGCTATGTTTGGGAGACTTGCTGATCACTCACCAGCAGTTGATAATCCGTGTTGAAATTCTCGGGGTAGTGGTATTTGGATGCAAGTAAAACTCCCTTTCTTGATCCAAAGGAGAAGAAAGGTGGCAGGGGAGGAAAAAGAAAATGAAGGTACTTACATGGAATACAAGGGGGTTTAAATCTCTCGAGAAGAATAAAAATTTACAAAAGTTAGTAAATAAATTCAATATAGGTATAGTAGCTATCTTAGTGCCACGAGTTAAAGCAGAGAAGGTAGAGAAGATGATTAATGAGAGATTTCCAAATTGGGAACATAAAGTAGCGATTAATGATAATGGGTTGGGGAAGGTATGGTGGATTTGGAGGAAAGATGTGAAGGTGACAGTGCTACATAAAAACAAATCAATTTATTCATGATTATGTTTCCACATGGATACCTTATTTTATCACATTTGTGTATGCTTCTAATGAGGAGGCAGGGAGAAGGAAGTTATATGCTGATTTGAAGGGTATAAGATGGTTAATGCCCATGGATCCTGTTAAGGGATTACAATGCAATTGGCCATCGAGTGAAGCTTCTAATGCTCCTGGATTTTCTCCAAGTATGAGTGATTTTCTACAGCGGCAGTATGAATTAGATATGGTGGAGCACAAGGCTACTGGTCCTTGGTTCACTTGGATCAACAAGCAAGAAGGTAATCTTATAGCTAGGAGGCTGGATAGGGTGTTTGTGACTGCGGAATGTTTGGTTATTTTAGTTCGAGTAAGGTTGAATTGCTAGATCTTCTGCTTCTGACCACTGCCCTATCATGTTGGAAATGGATTGTTCTATCAAGTCATTACTTAAACCCTTCAAATTTTTTAAGTTTTGGATGGCTCATACAAAGTTTATGGACCTAGTTAAGATTGCTGGGGAGATTGATGTTGTGGGTTCTCCTTTGCTAAGAGCATGTCAGAAGCTAAAAATTCAAAAAGGGTTTATGAGGAAGCTAAATCAAGAATAATATTTTGATATTAGGGGAGAGTACGACCTAAGGAATATGATTTGTTAGTGACTCAAGCTGATGCTCTCTCTAATCCATCTGAGGAGTCCTTTGCTAATGAAAGTAAAGTTTCAATTGAACTAAAGGAGTACGGGAGGCAGATGAATCATTCTTGAGGTAGAAGTCCAGGGAGATTTGGCTGGAGGAAGGCAATTCTAATTCTGCCTATTTTCACATATCATTGAAAAGTAGGCAGAAAAGGAACATGATTCATTCACTACTTGATGAAAAGGGAAAGAGGTTTACTGATACTGAATCAGTGAGTAGTATAGCAGTGAAGTTCTATGAAGGATTATTGGGGAAGGCTGACCTAGAAGTAATTCCTTAGCCTGTGGAGTATTTTAGCAACATTATTAAGAAGAAGTTGGGTCTTGATCAGAATGAGCTTTTTTGTCATGTTTCTGCTAAAGAGGTTAAGGAAGTCATTTTTGGGTTTAAGGGGTACAAGAGTTCGGGTCCAGCTAGATATACAACTAAGTTTTTCCAGTCCACTTGGAACATTATGAGAGCTGAACTAGCCTCTACTATCCAATTGAGTTTCAGTCATTCTTTCTTTCCTTCAAAGGTAAACTCAACTCTAATTACCTTAGTTCCTAAGACTCAGAAACCAGAGGAGATGAAATTCTTTAGGCCAATTTCATGTTGTAATATCATCTATAAGCGCATAGCAAAAATTCTTGTTAAGAGACTGAGCTTAGTTCTACTTTCTCTCATTAGTGCGAATCAGTATGCTTTTGTCAAAGGTAGATTGATTGGGGAAAATATCATCCTTTCTCATGAATTGGTTCAAAAATATAACTGGAAGAATATTTCTCCTAGGAGTATAGTCAAAGTGGACTTAATGAAAGCTTTTGATTCAGCGGATAAGGGATACTTGTTATCTTTAATGGCAGCTATGGGATTTTCTTCTCAGTTTCTGTGGATCAAAATGTGTGTCACTACCCCTAGATTTAGTGTAAACTTTAATGGGGTATGATAGGCTACTTATCTGGTAGGAAAGGGTTAAGGCAGGGTGACCCCTTTTTCCCATAGCTGTTTGCTATCGTAATGGAGATTTCCTCCTGTCTTATGCATAGGGAGACTTCTAGAGGGTTACTTCCTTCCCTATGTGTAAAAGGCTAACTCTCACTCATTTGATGTTTGATAATGATCTACTTCTATTTTCTGATGGCTCAAACTCTGGTCTTCGTGCAATCAAAATGGTATTGGCTCATTTTCGTTCCCTATCTCCGATTTGGTGTCAAATCCATCAAAGTGTGAGTTATATTGTGGGGGGGGGGATTACCTTTGCAATGTTAGAAGCACATGGCTGCGAGGGCTGGTTATAAGTTGGGTTCTGTTTCTGCTCAATATTTAGGGCTGCCTCTTATTCCTGGAAACAAGCTTGTAAACCTCTTATTGATAAATTGACTGCAAAAATTAATGGTTGGAGGTCGTTATGCTGGGCGATTCTAGTTAATTCTGGTGGTCATTTACAGCTAAACACAGTTTTGGATGACTTCTTTCATTCTCCCTAAAGTTGTTTTTAAAAAGAAAGAAAATATTTTTTGTGATTTTCTTTGGGGGTAATGGAGGGTGGTAGGAAGAAAGCGGTTGTTGCTTGGAAGCAGTGGCGGATACATGCTGCTTTAAGAGTGTCCCGGGACACCCTTAAAATTTGGGATAACGATTATCCAACTTCCGGTAGTAGTTTCGTATGGATAAACAAAATATATTTGATAATTCAGGACACCCCTAAAAATTGAAAAAACGATTATCTTACTCTCGATAGTAGTTTGCGTATGATTTAAAAAATATAAGTGGTAGTCTGTGTTATTCAAACCTAAGACACTACTATTATTAAACATATTCTCCATTAGGTTATAACTCATGTGTTGTTCTATTTTAAACATTATGTAATAGTAAAAACACGATTCCTTATCCCCAGGGGTATCCCTAATTTGAATTGACTTTATGGTTACACAGGGGTATCCCTTATCGTCGTGGTGGAAAAATCGGATTGTTTGGGGGAGCTGGGGTAGGTAAAACAGTACAAATTATGGAATTAATCAACAATATTGCGAAAGCTCATGGGGGTGTATCCATCTTTGGCGGAGTAGGGAGAACGTACTCGTGAAGGAAATGATCTTTACATGGAAATGAAAGAATCCGGTGTAATTAATGAAGACAATATTGCATAATTCAAAGTAGCTCTAGTCTATGGTCAGATGAACGAACCATCGAGAGCTTGTATGAGAGTTGGATTGACTGCACTAACCATGGCAAAATATTTTCGAGATGTTAATGAGCAAGATGTACTTCTATTTATTGACAATATCTTCCGTTTCGTCCAAGCCGGATCCGAAGTATCCGCTCTATTGGGGGAGTGTTGAATTTTTTCCCCCAACTTTGAGTTACATCATAAAGAAGGTTGGAAATTGAATATGTGATCAGTTTGTAAATTATTGTCTACTAGGATATATAGATTTGTTGAGCAGTGTACACATCGAATCTATTTTATATTTTTTCCGAAATATGAAAACACATAGTGGCTTTTTGTTAAAAATTGTACTCATTGGATATTTTCTAATTTATGAATTATTTGATTTAATTATTAATTTAATTTTTAAAGAGGACACCCTTACAAAAAAAATTCTGGATCCGCCACTGCTTGGAAGCATATTACTTTCTCCAAGATTGAGGGAGGATTAGGGTTGAGGGATTTATCAATATGGAATCTAGCTTGTGTCATTAGACATATTTGGGTTATTTTGGCTCAATAGGAACCTCTTTGGGTAGCTTGGGTGAGGGAGTATAGACTGAAAAGGGAGGATTTTTTGTTGGTGGCAAGAAAAGCTGGATCGTGGATGTGGAATAAACTGCTGAAGTGCAGAACCACAGTTGGCTCTATGTTCTAGGTTCAGGGGTCTAAGGTGGAATAGATTGGTTATGGTCATTAGGAGTAGCTATACGGTCCGGTCCGGTTAAATTGGTCCAAATTGATCCGGCCCTGGTCCGGTTTTTCGAGAATATAAGGACCAATGATTGGATTGGATACAGTTTGATCTTGATCTGGTCCGGTCTCAATTCGGTCTTCATTTTAGATTGAGATTTTGAGATTTGAGTGCCTTGAGGGGGGATTTGAATGGCCTGAGGCCTGAAAGGGTGAGGAGGTTAAATTTTGGGTGTTGGGATCTCTTATCCGGTCTTTATCCGGTTTTTGGTCCGGTCTCGAACGGTTTTTACCACAAATCTAGGCCCTTGGATTGGATTGTTTGCTATCCGGTTCCGGTCCAGTGTCGGTCCAGGTTATACGGTCCAGTTTCAGGTAAAACCAAAAAGCCCGTACCAAATAGCCATCCCTAATGGTCAAGTATAGTATCAAGAAGGTTTGGGGGTTCTTCCGTTCGCATAATGTTGTTGTCCCCTGGAAATCTCTTATCTTATCTGGACCCTTCCCGCTATATTCCAAAGGATCAGTTTATGCGTGGCTGGTTGTGAATGATTACATTTATCCTTGTGATAAGATGATATGCTGGGGGTATACAGGTTCCTTAGCCTGTGTGCTCTGTGATAGTGGCATTGAGATTAGAGATATCTCTTTGCATTGTGTCCTGTCTATCGATTTCTGTTTGCACGATTTTTCTCTCGTCTCTCTGCCAGGCAGGTATCGGATCAGTGAGAGTTGGAGCTGGCTTGGAGGGCAATGGTGGGATTGATTTGGAGGGAGGGTTGCCTGAGGTATGTAAGCAATGAGTTTTAGCTTAATCTTGAAACAGATGTTTGCTCTACCCAATTGATGATAGGGTGTGTTTCCAATAAGTATTTCGTTTTTTATGGAATATATAATACTGTTCATTAAAAAAAAATCAATAATCATAGACTTATCTATTCGTCACAGCAGAGAGTGATGCATACCTAATATAAAACAGGGTAAGCAGTAATGAATTGTTTTGGAGTCATCGAAAATGTGGACTCGAAACTTTTTAGCTGGTAGCCAATGGGAAGCACAGGAGGAAATGGTGCAATTTTTTTGTCTTGCTAGGAAACTTCTTTTGAGCTACGGACTATAAAGTCTTTAAACTGGCCGGCCGGTGCCGGCAGGGAATTAACGATAACCGCATTTCTTATCGGAATCAAATAATTTTTTGATTTTATTTTATGAATTTGATACCATGTTCACACATATAAACAGAAAGTAGAATACAAGCACACGGAGGGCTGGTGAAGTCGTGAAGATCAATACTTATTCATCTTTTTAAGTTTTTCTAAAGCGGATTCCAGCACCATGTCATATTTGTCTTCTGCTTGCATATCCATTGGTTAGAAATCCATCAAACAGTAGATAAAACAACACTTCAAAATTTCCAAAAATTAAAAATAAATAGATAACCTTAAGATATTATGGAAACAAATATTAGTGAATTAGTGGTAGGCCTGCTTGACATTTTGGAGGACTAAAGGATATTCATCCACTTTTTGGATGTACAGGGTATGCAAATAAGCCTAACTAACCCCATATAAACTTATTATTTTATATGGTAATAGGGACAAACGTTGGAATGAGTCAATGAAGAGCAAAGTTTTTCAGATTTTCTAGTATGCTCCTTTCAATTTGAATTTTGCCCAACCAAAAACAAATTTAGAAGTCCAAAATCTTATAATATGTACTTAATTCGCGAGTTTAGTTCAGTAGCAATTTCTGTGGGAAACACGATTTTTCTATATTATTATTATGCTTATTATTAGGATAATTCTTATTATGGTTAGTAGTCATTTAATAGAATTAGGTTTATTACTAGGGTTTTCTAGTATTTTCCTATATATATGTACTTTGGGTCATTCGTCATATTAAGCAGAAATTAATAGAAAAGTTACCTTTCCCCAAAACCCTAATCTCTTTCTCTCCCAAATCTCGTCTATCCTCCTCTCTAGAGGCCTCGGCCGTTCTTTCTGTTCTTCCCCAATTCTGTTCCCAATCCCTAATTCTCTTCTAAATCCCTAAATCTCTACCAATTCCCAATTTCCCAACACAATCGTTGGAACCCTAAAAATAGGTTTCCTACATCTGGTATCAGAGCCCGGTTTCGAGAATTGAGTTCACCACAACTCTCAACCGGGGACGAGTTCTACAACTGGTTCGACGATGAGCTCTTCAAAGCTCTCGAACCTGTCGTGGGCAGAATTGCGGGACAGAGCCCGTCGCATCGGCCGCCGTTGGCTGCCCGAAGAGCCGGCGGTCGAGCTGTCTGGCGCTAGGCGAGATAAGGATGTGGAGACGACGGGGTCAACTCCTGGTCGTCGGATCGAAGACTCGTCGCAAGAGATAGGGGCGAGGCGGGAGCTGCCGATTGACGAAACGTCAGAGCAGAAAGACCGCGCGACAATCCTCGTCGCGCGAGGGAGGGTGGCTCCAGCCGCGACGACGACCGACGAAGAGCAGACAACGGAGCATGAGGTCGGAGAGGTTTCGCCACCTGGTCGCGGAGTTCGGGGATCGCCGCTGACAGAGTTGATGGAGTTAGAAGCCGAGCCGCCGTCGGAGAACGAGATGGAGCCGGGGGCGAAGGTCGAGGTGGAGAGGCCTGAATCGAGCTGGGATCATCACCCGGAGGGTTATTCGCCGCTGGAGGAGGTCCACCGTGAGTCTTCGCTGATCACTCCAGCCACGGCGACGATGGGCGAGCCACCGGGAGAAGAGAAGAAGGGCGGGGTTGATTTCTCTACCTCCTGCTGGACTTCCACCGACGAGGAGGCGGAACAGAGAGCTATGATCTTCGGGTCGGGCTTGTCTCTTCGTCATCGGCTGGGCGAGCCGCCGCCGGGAGAGGAGGCGCCGCTGGAGAAGAAGGGTGGCGGGTCGAGTCTGCCTGCCTGTCGCGTGAAGACCTTGTCGCGGGAAAATGAGAGGGAGAGGAAGTCGATCGGCGCGGAGGTAATGGCAGGGATGAGAGTCGCCGGAGTGGGGCTGCCATCCACCCCTCGGGCAAGGAGCTCGCCGGCCGAGAACGGCAGGGAGCTTTCCCACGCGTCGCCAAAGGCGGCACCGAGGTCGGGCGAACCCTTGAAGCCTCCAGTTCGCTGCTCGCCGACGGGGGAGAAGCTTCCTGGTGTGGGAGCGCGGCTGGCGGCGCTCACTGTCGCCGATCGAGGCGGCGGCGCGGGAGGCAGCCCGATCGTCCGGGCGAGCGGGGCGGAAGGCGGCGGCTGTGACGGAGGCCCCGAGGCCGAGGGGCGCGCAACGGCGCGCGGAGCAGAGAGAACGGCGCGGGCCGAGGCGCCGGGTGGGCGGCGCATCTCGCCGAGCATCGCGGAGGAGGCGGAGCTGCCGGCGAGCGACGCGATGAGGGAGAGGGGCTGCGATCCTCTCGCAAACCCTAGGTCGGCTACCCTGGGCCGCGGAGAGCAACAAGGGAGATTTGGGCCAAGTCGTGCTGCTACTCGGGTCTCTGGAGCGTTTGGGCCGCGAGGAAATGGGCAGAAAGCAAACCAGCAAAACAGGCCAGCTGGAGAAGGGAGTTTTGCTGGGCCAGAGATTGGGCCGACGCGAGCTGGGTCAAGGAGTGGTGGCGGGCTGAATAACAAAAAAAGGGGCAGTTGGGTTCGAGTGAAAGATGGGCCGCATTTTCAAATCGGAAGTGGGCCTCCATTAGGCTGTGGGGTTAAATCTCTCTTATATGGAGCAGGCTTGAAAGAAAAGGAAGGTGGGTTTGAATGCTTAGCGGATGGGCTTCGAAAAGGGAGTGGGTCAAAGGCAATTGAAGATTCAACGAAGCCATCTGATGAGCTAAATTCAAGAAAGAGATATGAGGGTAATGATGAGTTAGTCCTTGAGGATAAATTCTTGTATGAGGAAATCCTTTTAGATTTCTTGAGTTGCTGGAGAATAATACCAACGAAAGGGAAGCTATTGGCGTTTGAACTTTCCACGGAGGCAAATAGTGGGCCCATGAGATTCATAGAATGGGGCCAACGGGAGAAGATTGGTGCAAGAAGTTCAAGTGAAGAGTTGGAGCATGATTGGAAGAAAAGGAAGCGCAAGCAGCGGAGAAGCGATGATTGGATTGGGCGAGAAGATTGGAAGAAATGGGTCAAGTCAGTCAACCTTGAGGGCAAGGTTGGTCTGAAGGGGGAGGAGATGTGGGAAACACGATTTTTCTATATTATTATTATGCTTATTATTAGGATAATTCTTATTATGGTTAGTAGTCATTTAATAGAATTAGGTTTATTACTAGGGTTTTCTAGTATTTCCCTATATATATGTACTTTGGGTCATTCGTCATATTAAGCAGAAATTAATAGAAAAGTTACCTTTCCCCAAAACCCTAATCTCTTTCTCTCCCAAATCTCGTCTATCCTCCTCTCTAGAGGCCTCGGCCGTTCTTTCTGT